TGCCCTCTGCCACCTGGGAGCAGGCCTAAGCCAGCAGGTCGTTATCTCCCGAGGGGTCCCAGACTGCGAGAGGGCACAGGCCGGGCTGGGGGACCCCCCCCTCCCCACCCCCCGGAGTGCACAAATTTTTGTGCACTGGGCCTCTAGTATGTACTATAATGCTAGTAGATTCACATTGTATTTGCTCTAAAGTGGTACTACCACTACCATCACCATCACCACTATCACTTCTACCATTATAATTAGTATCAATATAAAAGGATTACTTTACTAGAGTCAGAAGTGGTCTTGGTTAGAATTAGTTGCTGAAATATATGCACCAAGTTAGCTCTGCACTTCTAAGTTTTGAAGTCTTTTGAGGAATAGTGTGTTTTTTATTTCTTTCCAAATCAATAGTCACAAGCCATTCAAAAGTGTTGTGGAATTAATAGTCCTAAATAATAAGATTGTTTTACTGCCATTAATTATGGTTTTCCAGAGGTATAAAATCCTCTGTGTTCAATATTACTAAGTAGTTTTCTAGATTGTTTCTGGCATTTACTAATGTGCAGAGCTCTGTTATATGTACTTTGTTAACGGTTTTCTACTACAGATATTGTATAAAATAGAGTTAGATCAGCGGTTCTCAACCTGTGGGTCGCGACCCCTTTGGCGGTCGAACGACCCTTTCACAGGGGTCGCCTAAGACCATCCTGCATATCAGATATTTACATTATGATTCTTAATAGTAGCAAAATTACAGTTATGAAGTAGCAACGAAAATAATTGTATGGTTGGGGTCACAACATGAGGAACTGTATTTAAAGGGCCAGAAGGTTGAGAACTACTGAGTTAGATGATCCTTGCAATTCTTTTGGATGGAATGATTCGGTATCTGCTTGCCAATGATAAATAAGGCTAGTAAATAAACTGGGTATTTTATTGTCTACATTGAAATAACTAGGCATCTAAAATACTTGCAGATTGCAAGTAAAATTAAACTTTGCTTACCTGTATGCTTCTTATTCAAAATAGCTGTAAGCCTGGTATACATTTTCCTTACTGAATAAAAAAAGTCAAGCTTCTTTGGGTAGGCCAGTTATATGCTGCAAGATCAACATATCAAAACCAGTGCCTTTTTTTCTACACCACGTGCTGAGGAAATACACTTTGTTATGTTTCAACCACTAAGTTAATAATTCTTATGTAAAAAAAATAGTCTTATGTACACATCAGATTTCTAAATATCATTTTTTATGTTATGTTTCATGTTTATTGATTTGTGAATATTGTATCAGCTTTGCATCCTTGGAATAAATCCTGGTGTGAGCTTTTTAATATATTGCTGGATCTGATTTGCTAAAATTTTGTTGAGGATTTTAGCATCTGTGTTCATCAGGGATATTGGCCTGTAATTCTCTTTCTTTGTAGTGTCTTTATCTGGTTTTAGGATTAGGGTAATGCTAGTGTCATAAAAAGAACTTGGAAGTGTTCCTTCCTCTTGGGTTTTTTTGGACTAGTTTGAGGAGTAGAGGTGTTAATTGTTCTTTGAATGTTTGCTAAAAATCCCATGTGAACCCATCAGGACCCTGGCTTTTGTTTGCTGGCAGGTTTTTTTTATTACTGCTTCAATTTCATTATTTGTATTGGCCTATTCAGGTTTTCTGATTCTTCCTGATTCAGTTTTGGGAGATTGTATTTTTCTAGAAATTTGTCCATTTCATCCTCAATTTCCAGCTGTTGGCATATAGCTGTTGATTATATTTTCCTTAAAATCCTTTGTATTTCTGTGATGTCAGTGGTTACTTCTCTGCTTTCCTTTCTGATTTTATTTGTTTGGGTCCTCTCTCTTTGTTTCTTGATGAGTCTGGCTAGTGGTTCATCAATTTTGTTTATCCTTTGGAATGCTTTTGCTGTGTTCCAGAGATTTTGGGTTGTTGTGTGTTCATTTTCATTTGTTTCCAGGAAATTTTTGAATTATTGCTTGATCTCTTTGGTAACCCGTTCGTTGCTTAATACCATGCTATTTAGTCTCCATTGGTTTGAATATTTTGGGGTGTTTTTACTGTAGTTGATTTCTAATTTTATTCCACTGTGATCTGAGAAGATGCTTGATATGATTTCAGTCTTCTTGATCTTGTAGAGACTTGTTTTGTGTCCTAACATATGGTCTATCATTTTGAATGATTATATGCACTTGAGAAGAATGTATATTCTGCAACTTTGGGGTGAAATATTCTATAAATGTCACCTAAATCCATCTGATCCAGTGTGTCCTTTAGAGTCACTGTTTGCTTGTTATGTTTTTGTCTGGAATATCTATCTAGTGAAGTCAGTGGGGTGTTAAAATTCCCTGTCATGGCTGTATTGTTGCCGATCTCTCCCTTAACGTCCTCTAGAAGTGATATATATTTAGGTACTCCTATGTTGGGTGCATATGTATTTACTAGGGTTATATCATCTTGTTGGATCGATCCTTTAGTATTATGTAGTGACCCTTGTTGTCTCTTCTGATGGTCTTCATTTTGAAGTTTATTTTGTCAGATACTAGTTTTGCTCCTCTAGCTTTTTTTTTTTCTTTTCCTTTTGTATGGATAAGTTTTTTACATTCCTTCATTCTCATCCTATGTGTGTCTTGTGTTCTGAGATGGGTCTCTTGTGAACAGCATATAGTTGGGTCATGTTTTTGTATCCATTTAGCTACCCTATGCCTTTTGTTGGGAGCATTTAATCCATTTACATTTAAGGTTATTATTGATAGGTACTTATTTATTGCCATTTTAATTCTGTATGCCTAAATTTCTCTCTCTCTTCTTCTCATCACAGCAGTCCCTTTAGCATTTCTTGTAATGCTAGCTTAGTGGTGATGTACTCCTTTAGCATTTTTTTTTTTTTTGGTCCAGGAAGCACTTTATTTGACCGTCTATTTTGAATGATAGCCTTGCTGGATACAGTAATCTTGGTGTCAGTTCCTTGCTTGCTATTACCTTGAGTACTTCATGCTATTCTCTTCTGGCCTTAGGGTTTCTGATGAGAAATCAGGTGTCTTCCTTATTGGAGCTCTTTTGTAGGTAACAGTTTTCTTTTCTATTGCTACCTTTAAGATTCTCTCTTTGTCTTTAATTTTTGGCATTTTAATTATGATGTGTCTGGGTGTGGGCCTGTTTGGGTTCTTCTTGCTTGGGGTTCTCTGTGCCTCCTGGACTTGTGTGATATTTCCCTTTACCAGGTTAGGGAAGTTTTCTGCCATTATTTCTTAAAACATGTTCTCTATAGTTTTCTCCCTTTCTGCCTCTTCTGGCATACCTGCTATTCAAATATTGTTACGTTACACATTGTCCCACAGCTTCCTTAAGTTGTTCTCCTGTTTTTTAATTGTCTTTTGTTTTTGGTTCTCTGATTGAGTGATTTTTTTAAACCCTGTTTTTAATTCAGTAATTTGATCCTCAGCTTCCCTGAATCTGCTGTGTATTCCTTCCAATATGTTCTTTACTTGTGCTATGTCATTCTTTATTTCTGTTTTCATAATTACTATATCTTTTCTCATCCTGTTGAGCATTTATACCATCATTATTCTGAACTCTGTATCAGATAAATTTCTTATCTCCATTTCATTTATCTCTTCTTCTGGAGAATTCTCTTGTTCTTTCATTTGGGGGTTGTTACTTTGTCTCATTTTGGCTGCCTGTTTGGGTAGATCTGTTAAGCCTCTCATCTAGTGCAGGACAGTGTCAAATGCTATTTCTGACTCACTAGATCAGACAGTTCCAAAGCCTCCAGAGACTGCCTCTGGTGACAGACTGTTATGATTTTTTCTTAAATTGTCCTCAGGCAATCATCCACAGGCATGGGGAGAGTTTTTTTTTTCAACAGGGTGGGGCAATTGCTTCTGCCTGGAGGCTAATTGTTATTCTCCATCTCTTCATGGGCCTGAGCAACTCTGCACCTTGGGGCAAGGTGTTTTTCAATAGGGTGGATCAACTGTCTTCTCCCCCTACCCCCCCCACCCCCCCGCAAGGTCACCTGTATAACAAATGTTTGCATGAGAAAGATGACCTCCTTAGCATGAGGGAATGACTCAGTACAGGAAACCAGGGTGTCTGCCTTCTGAACTATAGCCCTAGGATCCCTGATTCTGGCTTCTGCTCACACAGCTCCAGTCCACTCTGCCCTCTCTCTGCCGTAGCACAAGATGGGTGGCTCCACAGGGAATTGTGTGTGTTGGCCCTTTAAGAGGGTGCCTGAATTTTGAGCCATTGCTCCCTGACAGATAGTACCCCTGCTGCTTTTCACAGCCAAATGTTATGTGGGTATCCTTCTTAGTTCTGGTGCTCTCTGCTGGGGGGCCCAGCTTGGGGATTAGAACCTAGAGTTCTCAGTGTCAACCCCCCACAGCTGAGATATCTCTCCAGAACTTCAATTGCTGTCTGTTGGAGCCCACCAGCCCTTTCATGCCTCTGCCCCTTCTACCATTCTGTATGTAGTCTCCACTTTCGATCCTTGGTTATCTGGATTCTCTCCAGCGAGTCCTCTGTTGTTTATTCAGGAAGTTTTTCTGTACGTTAGTTGTAATTCCTGTTTGGTCCTAGGAGCATGTTCATGCAGCATCTATTTATTCCATCAGCATTTTTAATCCCATCTAGTGTGTATATCTTTTAAACTAATAGGGAGGTAAATAGAATGAGAAAAATACTCAATCTAAAAAAGACAAGGAAGAAGAAAAACAGAAAAGAGAAGTATCACAGAATAAGATATGTTAGTAATTACAGTGCATATAAATTGACAAAATGCCCTAGTTAACAGAAACTGATAGTCATATTGGATAAAAAACAAAATCTAGTTATATTCTATTTATAAAAAGCATACCTTTAAAAAGAATATAGAAAATTTGAAAATAAAAAGGATAAAAAGTGATATGCCTGATAATACTAAAGAAAGGTTGTGTTGTGTGGCTATATTAATCTCATGTAAAGTTGAATTTGGCGGGGGGGATCTATCCCAGAGACTGAAGGTCACTAAATAATGATAAAAGAGATGACACTTTTATATTTGTATATATCTAATAATATACTTTTTTTTAAGCAAAAAATAGATAGGACCTCAGAAGAAATAGGCAAATCCATCAACATTGTAACATATAAAATAATCTCTCTTAATAAATGTTGCGCCCTAACCGGTTTGGCTCAGTGGATAGAGTGTTGGCCTGCGGACTCAAGGGTCCCAGGTTCAATTCCAGTCAAGGGCATGTACCGTGGTTTCAGGCACATCCCCAGTAGGGAGTGTGCAGGAGGCAGCTGGTTGATGTTTCTCTCTCATCGATGTTTCTAACTCTCTATCCTTCTCCCTTCCTCTCTGTAAAAAAATCAATAAAATATATTTTAAAAAAAATGTTGGAACAAGCAGAAAAAATCTACAAAAATATAGAATCCTATATAATAAAAGGCTAATATGCAATTGTCCCCTTGACCAGGAGTTCGACCAAGGGGCAGGGCTGGCCGTGGCCCCTGCCCCTTGGCTGGCCACACCCTTGATCAGCCCCCACACCCTGATTGGGGGCAGGGCCAGCCTGCCAACTGCCCATGGCCCCTCCCACTGGCCAACCCCACCCCTGATCAGCCACCCACCCCCCAAACGGGGGTGGGGCTGGCCGGCCAACCACCTGTGGCCCCTCCCCCAAGCTGGCCCCACCCCCGACCAGTCCTCCCACTCTGATCGTGAGTGGGGCCGGCCAGCCAACTTCCTGTAGCCCCTCCCCCTGGTTAGCCCAGCCTGATTGACCCTCATCAGGGTGGGCTGGCCGGACCCCACCGGTGCATGAATTCGTGCACTAGGCCTCTAGTATTTTAATAACAGCATTTACCACTGTAATTTATGGGACAGCGCATCTCAGAATTATTTTTAAAAATTCTTTTAAAAAATTTTTAAAGCACACAAGGAACATTTACAAAATATGATAACATTTTTGTCAAATACATCTGATTTTAACAAATTTCAGTGGATTGGCATCATACTGAATTCTCTGTAATGCCATCAACTATGTAAGTAACAATGTACTTTTTTTGTATGTTTCAAAATTATTATTTACAAATAACTTGACTCAAAAAACCTGTAAGGAATATCAGAAAATATTTATAATTTAACAGTAACAATATAATATGTATCAGAACTTGTGTGATATTAAGTGATACTTTATGGAAACTTAGAGTGTTTAATGCTTATATAATAGGAATAAATGCTGAAAATAACTGTATTCTTCAGAATTAGAAAAATAAGAGAACACTCCCCAATTAAACTTAAAAGGAAGTAAATATAAATTAATGAAATAGAAAACAAAAGTAAATCAGAGAGAGGAAACAGTTCAGCTAAAAATAGATTATATGAAAAGACTAACAAAACTGAAAACCGCTGGCAAGATTAACCATGGGAAAGAGATCACAAAGCAGTATCTGGAATGACAAAGGGGATGTTGTTATACTGTTTCAAGAATGATCATCTTTAAGTTAATATAATTAAATGCTTAGATAAAATGGACAACTTCTTAGAAAAATATAGTTCACATTGGCTCAGAAAGGAATACAAACTTGAATAATCTTAAAATGTAAAGGAAAAATGTTCTCACAAAGAAAAATACCAGTTCCATCACAGGTTCTACAGAATAGTCAAGTGATAATAGCAAGATCCTCATTAAGGAAACTTGATCTATAATGGCACTGGGGACAGGATGACTATTTCAATAATTGGGGTAGTTGGTTAATTAAATGGAAAAAAATGAGTTGGATCACTACCTCATATTATTTAGAGAAATCCATTGGGCTGGATTATCGATCTAAATCTATACATAAGGTAAAGATATAGTTGAGGTAAAACTATAGCACTTCCTAAAGATAGTAGAGTTGGATATTCTTATGACTTTCAGTAAATGTGAAATAAATGTATAAAACAGAGCAAAAGATTGGTATATATGACTGCATCAAAATTAATAACGTCTTTCACAAACTGATACATAAAGGAAGTGGTGATTAGTATTTAGCACATGCAAAGTTCTGTCACACTGAAATAAAGACAATTTAATAGAAAATTGGGCAAAGGACTCTAATATGCATTTCATAAAAGAACAAATTCACTTGGCTAATAAGCATAATATAAGATATTCAACCCAGTGAGTAATCAGGGAAATCCCTATTAAAACCAAATGAGAAGACATTTCATGCCTCCTACATTCTCAAAAATTAAGAGCCAAACATGTTGCTGTTCATTTTAATATGGAGGAACTAGGACACTTAAGCAGTGCTGGTGGTAATGTTAATTGGTGTATCCACTAGAAAAATATTGACATTATTAAAAAAAATTGAAGATGCACATACATTATGATCCAGTATCTTCATTGCTAAGTATGTCTTAAGCCTCTCTACAGAAATATCAGGTGATATATGATTGTTCATACAGCCTGTTCATAATAACAAAACGCTCATATATCTATCAACAGTAGGATGAATACTGGTATATTCATACAATAAAATGTTACATAAATACCAAAAATGAATTAATTACAGCTATGCTTAACAACTTGAATTATTCCAGGAATATAATGTTGGAACAAAACAAACTATAGAAGAATATATAACATGGTTCCAGTTATATAAAGTTCAAGCACATGCAAAATGAAGTCATATATTGTTTGATGATACAAATACCATACAAGTCCAAAGAAAATGATAAATATAAAATTTAGGGATGAGTGAATAACATGAGAAAATCTTGTTCCAAGTAAGGAGGGACACAGAGTAGATGGAAGAGGTAAGAGTAACTTTATACTTATTGTTTATTTGTACCTTAAACTTATTTTGTAGAATTATTAATACCTAATATTAATAATCACATTATGTTTAATAAAACACAATTCTCCTGGGTATGAGATGCTCCAAGATGTATTCATTTATTTCAAGGGGTACAGACAATTTTAATAATTCTACATTTTTCTAAATATTAAGTTTGCATGATTTTCTACCTTAATAATTTTTTTGTTTATTGGCCATGTTGTAAGAAGTTTGAGAAAAGCATTGCCATGCCTTATATTTTCCTAACTTAAAATGTATGTGATGTCTGTTTTTAAAATTGCATTTGTGGATATGACATTTTGTTTCAGAATATTACCACTTTGTTTTATTTATCAAACACTTAATAGTGTTTGTGCATCAGACAATATTCTAAGCACTTTAAAAATGTTAACTTATGCCCTGGCTGGGTGGCTCAGTTGTTTGGAGCATCCTCTTGTACATCAAAAGGTTGAAGGTTCGATTTCTGATTGGGGCAAGTAAGGAAGGCAATCAATGTTTCTCTTTCTGTCTCCCTCTCTACCTATCTCCCTTCCTCTTAAATCAATTTTAAAAAAACAACATATCCTCGGATGAAGATTAAAAGATATATTGCCTCATTTAATCTGGATTAAAACCCTATGAAGAAGATATTATTATCATTTTATAGGTAAGGAAACTTGAGGCAGAGATGTTGTTGCCTAAGGTCACTAGTAGGTGGAGCCTGTATTCAAATCTAGATAGGCAGCCTGGCTCCATACCATGTGTTTAACCACAAGCTGTAAAAGACCCTATTGATTACATAGGCACCTATGTTCTCCCATGCAGTGGGCTTTCTTGTTTTGTTGATGGTTTCTTTTGCTGTACAAAAGGTTTTTATTTTGATGTAGTCCAATTTGTTTACTTTCTCTTTAGTTTCCATTGCCCTAGGAGTGGTATTGGTAAAGAAATTGCTTTGGCATATGTCTGAGATTTTGCTGCCTGTGGATTCCTCTAATATGTTCATGGTTTCCTGTTTTATGTTTAAGTCCTTTATCCATTTTGAGTTTATTTTTGCGTGTGGTGTAAGTTGGTGGTCTAGTTTTATTTTTTTGAATGTATCTGTCCAATTTTCCCAAAACCATTTATTGAAGAGACTATCTTGACTCCATTGTATGCTCTTGCCTCCTTTGTCAAATATTAATTGGGCATAGTGGTTTGGGTCGATTTCTGGGTTCTTTATTCTATTCTATTGATCTATATGTCTGTTCTTGTGCCAGTACCAGGCAATTTTGAGAACAGTGGCTTTTTAATACAACTTGATATCTGGTATTGAGATCCCTCCTACTTCGTTCTTCTTTCTCAGGATTGCTGCAGCTCTTCCGGGTCTTTTTTTATTCCAAATGAATTTTCAGAGAGTATGTTCTAGGTCTGTGAAATATGCCATTGGTATTTTAATGGGGAAATGCATTGAATCTATAGACTGCTTTGGGTAGTGTGGACATTTTAATGATGTTGATTCTACCAGTCCATGAACACGGTATATTCTTCCATCTGTTTATGTTTTCCTCTATCTTTTTTTTCAGTGTCCTGTAGTTTTCCAAGTACAGGTCTTTTACCTCCTTAGTTAAGTTTATTCCTAGGTATCTTAATTTTT